TGGACATTCAATATCAATTTGAAGTTTCATGGGGTTGGGAATTTAGATATCACCGTATCTTTGTGGACAGCTCATGTCAATTTGAAGTTCCATGGGGGTGGGAATTTTGATTTCATCTTATCCTTGCGGACAGCGCAAGTCAATTTGAAGTTCCATGGGGGTCGGAATTTTGATATCATCTTGTCCTCGTTGACCGTCCAAGTCAATTTGAAGTTCCATGGGGGTGGGAATTTTGATATCATCTTTTCCTTGTGGACAGTCCAAGTCAATTTGAAGTTCCATGGGGGTGGGCATTTCGATATCATCTTTTCCTTGTGGACAGTCCTAGTCAATTTGAAGTTCCATGGGGTCGGAATTTTGATTCAATCTCATCCTCATTGACAGTCCAAGTCAATTTGAAGTTCCATGGGGGTGGGAATTTTGACGCCACATGACCCTTGTGAGCCGCCCAAGTCAATTTGAAGTTCCATGGAGGTGGGAATTCTGATATCATCTTTTCCTTGTGGACAGTCCAAGTCAATTTGAAGTTTCGTGGGGGTGGGAATTTCGATATCATCTTATCCTTGTGGGCAGTCCAAGTCAATTTGAAGTTCCATGGGGGTGGGCATTTTGATATCATCTTATCCTTGTGGGCAGTCCAAGTCAATTTGAAGTTCCATTGGGGTGGGAATTTTGATAACGTCTTATCCTGGCCGAAGGTCCAAGTCAATTTGAGTTCCATGGAGGTGGGAATTCTGATATCATCTTTTCCTTGTGGACAGTCCAAGTCAATTTGAAGTTTCATGGGGGTGGGAATTTCGATATCATCTTATCCTTGTGGACAGTCCAAGTCAATTTGAAGTTCCATGGGGGTGGGAATTTTGATTTCATCTTATCCTTGTGGACGGCCCAAGTCGATTTGAGTTCCATGAGGGTGGGATTTTTGATATCATCTTGTCCTTGTGGACAGTCCAAGTCAATTTGAAGTTCCATGGGGGTGGGAATTTTGATTCAATCTTATCCTCGTTGACAGTCCACGTCAATTTGAAGTTCCATGGGGGTGGGAATCTTGATATCATCTTTTCCTTGTGGACAGTCCAAGTTAATTTGAAGCTCCATGGGGGTGGGCATGTTGATATCATTTTGAACTCCTGAAGCGCGAGGTTCTGAGCCGCGTTAGTTTTGTAAATCGGAGGAAATAGTGTCTGAATCCTGTTTTCTTAATCTGAGTTTCTGAATCGTGATAGTTTCTATAAACCATGATAGTTTCTGAATCGTGCAAGTTTCTGGATAGTTTCAGAAGCGTGATAGTTTCTGAATCGTCATAGTTTCTGAATCGTAGTTTCTGAATCGTGATAGTTTCTGAACCGTGATAGTTTCTGAATCGCGCAAGTTTCTGAATCGTGATAGTTTCTGAATCGCGATAGTTTCTGAATCGCCATAGTTTCTGAATCGTGATAGTTTCTGAATCACTATATAGTTTCTGAATCGCTGGAAATAGTTTCTGAATTGTTGTTTCTGACTCGTAGTTTCTGAATCGCAGATAGTTTCTGAATGGGTTTTGGATCGCAAGTTAAGCATGCGAGGTGCAGCTACCCAACAAAATCCAGACAGATCCCAAATTCCACCCCTGCAACTTCCAAAGTCAACGGATTTCACGGCATCCCTACAGGAAAGTAGGAGGACCGCCAAAATGGTTGGCTTTTTCATGGTTTTCACCAATTCTGGGACTTTTCGGCACATCCTGCAGGTAGTTGCCACAGGCACAGCTGCTCCATGCGGTTCCAGTCTCAGGCCACGCCACCCATGATGGTACCACCTGTGGAACCTGCAAGCTTTTCTGCTGGTTTGGCCCCGCAAAAATGGATCAAAGTCATAGTTATGATATATATATATATATATATGCGCTTCAGCTTAAAAAAACCATGGATACCCGGATACCAAGAACTTTCTTTTGGATCACGGGTTACGTTGGGCTTCTTTTTTATGTACCCACCTCCGCACACTGAAAGGCTGCGTGCGGCACGCGCACGGAGCTGGCCACCTGGGCGAGGCTCGGAGGTAAAATCACCGGTGAATGATGGGGGATATGTTTGATGAGTTTTGAAAAAGTGGTTAGATGAGTATTAGATATACCAGAACTATGAGATCTTTGAATCTTTGATGGATTGTGATAATCTGCCAGCTTTGGTGTTTGATACTCTAAAAAAACAGCTCTGACTTGATGAGTACAACAACCTGCCGTGTCTCAATCCAGGTTGCGCTCGCAGTGGATGACTCCACCAATTCTCCTGCTTCACTACAGGCTGGAGACGCAGTACCTGGCGTTGTTTTCCTGTCTCTTGGATCAACATGCTCCAACTGCCGAGCTGAATCCTGGAAAATCCTGGAAATAAGGTTTCGGAACAGCCAACAAGACATTTCAGAGGAAACTCCTACAGGTGTGATAATATACCCTCCGGTAATGAAACATGGCAATAGAAAATTCCCATTTACAGATGGGTGTTCCCATTCAACCCCTCATTTTCTAGAGCCACATTTGATTCCTGGAGGGCCATAAAATCCAAGGGGGTTTTCCCTGCAGCTTTTCTCCAACGCCATGCCAGGTTCACTGGTGACGGACTCACCAAGGTCGCCCGTGTCGTCGAGATGACGGTCGCCCTTCGCTGAGGCTGCAAGGCTGCCAGACTGGGCCCAGTCAGACTGGGCCCCAAGTCATCACAGCATGACATGACATGAAAATGACGCATAAATGATACCCTCTGGTAAACTAACATAGCTATGGAAATCACCATCTTTGATAGGTAATTCAACCATAAATGAGCCATGTTCAATAGCTATGTTAGTCATTACCAGAGGGTATTCATCAAGGATAATCCAATATAATCCATGGATCAAATGTCATCAATGATAATCTCGTTATAATGATAATTTATTCTGATATCCCATTTTAATCCATTTTAGATCATGATATTAACGAATCTTTCACCATTATATGATGGGGGGGCGCGACCATCCCTTTTCTCAAACAATAATCCATGTGTTGACCAAGGCAAATATGAAGATGATAATTTGACAATCATGACAAGGCTTGATGAATCCAAATCTATCATATATCCAAATGATATCCACGTTTACCTTTCGCGCCAAGAACTCTTCACCTTTGCAAAAGCATGGCCTTTTCCTTTTGGAAAAAAAACTTGCAACCACTAGAAACTGTATCAATCCGCATCAGGTGTACGACTCTTTCTGTGCTCTTTTGCACCCTCTGTCGCCCGCTTCGCACCTTTATCACCTCGTCAGTCTTATGAATCCGTTGCGCGGAGTTTGCAAACTCCTGAGGTGGACACGCATGATATCGATGCTGATTTCCCATCAGGCTCTGAGTGCGTCGCCGTGGAAACCGCAAGAATCTTAAGGAGTAAACAATCCCTTTTTGATCCCATATATAGTCAAGGTATCAGTCGGATTGCACCGCATTCGACCGCATTGCACCAAGCCAGGGTAGCTTTGGTGACGTCTTTGCTGCCAAAGCACTTTCAAAGATCCGACCAAGAACGCTTTCCTCGGCACAAGATGTGGAGTCACCCAACTGTAGAGGATGATCCCACTTACTGTAGTGATTTAGAACCCTGGTTGTTGTAAGTCCCGTGGCTTATCCCATAACCCCACTAGCCAGCTACATCAACCATTGAGAGGCAAGGCCCCTGGACACCAGACCTGCAGAAAAGCTGCGGATCAGTTCCTGTGAGGTCTGCCTTCCTTAGGGCTGGCGCGTCAATCCACCTGGTGGCCACCTATGAAAATAGTACCTATAAAACACCGTGGGGATCCTGTAAAACACCATTTTAAATGGATGAAAATGGTACCTAGAAAAAAAAACTACAAACACTATCAAATCATATAAAATCAACAAATAACAGATTGTGCGTCCCAAAATTGACCAACATCTGGGGAACTTCTCCCTTGGGGTCCTCAATTGCAAGTTTTTTGCGACTCAAAGTCACTTGCCACACTTTTTTGTAACATTAAATCATATCAAATCTTCTCACAATCTGAGGCTCCCAATGATCGTCTGCATGGCTTCCCTCAAGCCTAAAATGCCACGCTTCTCGCAAACCTCATGCAAGGAATCCTCACAGCCTGACGGGTGAAATGGCACCAGGCTACACCAGGCTACTGAGCCACCATTAACAGATTTAACCGACCCAGGAAGCCAAAGGAAACCAAAAAGGGCGCCTTCGACAACCTGTGCACAGCTTGGATAGGCTGCCAAGAACGTCTTGATCTCCTTGTTCACTTCAAGACCTGTCAGGCATCATCATGAATATTGAGCACAAAAAGTTACCACCATCATGAATTGATGAATTGAGCCATCTCAAATCATTGGTTCATTGAGCACTATTTATGTCAATGGGAGCCAACATTCATGATGCTAAGGATTTACCAATGAGCCATTGGTTCGCCCTGCCCTGATTGTGACTCCAAATCTCTGAGAATCGATGAAGCTACGAACCGGGACGTTCCGTCATGTCGTCAGTGGCTGGCATCTTGTCCACTGCATGATTGACCAATGATATTATGTGTGTGTATATATTATATATATATATTATTTATATACATATTATTATTATCTATATACATATTATGTGAGTGTGTTGCGATCAGTGATTTGCCCAATTCTAGTCCTCCCCTAAAAACCAAACTGAACCATGTCGAAGACATCAACAAGAAGTCCCAGATATTTTTCTGTCCTTAGCCGTGCCAATTATATAAGGCCCCTTAGCGGGGCCTGTCTTTTTTAGCCAAGATTCCTAGATCTGCCGCAAGAGTTGCCATTGCTGATGCTCCAGGCTCTCCGAAAGTAGATATCTCTTCTGCTTGTTTGCCAAAAATGGGAGACCTGTTGAACCTGTTGAACCTTTTATGTCGCGATGAAAGGATGTCATTGTCATTCCATGATATTCCATGTATGTTCATGTATTTTATTGTATTTTCACGGATGTGCAAAGACTTACTGGTCAAAGCGAGTCGCAGCTTTCGAAACAAAAGGGACCACATGCATTACCAGGGACTGTTCATAACATATGCAATGGTCACATGTTGGAGGCAAGCAGAACACCAAGCCATCACCATTGGATGTCAGCTGAGCAAAAAAGGCGAGCACAACTTGGCCCAACGACCCGGTCTGGAAAGTGGGACCTCTATACCTGTGGCCATCCTGCGCACTTGGAGCATGTTGATGACCTCAATGCCCACCCATGCCCACCTAAACTTCACTGGACCACCAGCGGTCAGCAAATCATCAAAATCACATCCAGTCGTATTTTGTGGCGTAGAGAACAGAAAATCCACTGAAGCTACCCATGATGATGCAGGTTCTGGAATTTTAGTGGCTTTGACTTGAATGGTCCTGAATGGTCACTATGGTCACTATGGTCACTACCAGCATTGAATAGACCCCATAGCCATACCTCTGAACGGTGCAATTTCTTCAACGGATGTCAGACCTTCTGCAGCCCCTCGGTGGCTCATCCTGGGGATGCCTTTGGCATTCAGCGGAGAGCCATACTGTGGCAGCTGAATTACCACAGCGCTGCGATCGGAAGGCACATTGAATGGTCTCATACTCCACGTTTGCTTGCGCAAAAGGAGCTTCCCTCTGCAACCAAAGAAAAAGGATAGAAAAGAGAGAAAACATCAGATTCACTTTTGAAGTTCGAGTTCCCTTAATCTTCCAATTGCAGCGCTAAAAGTTCATGCCTTGAGTCTGGAAGCTGCTGCGCCTTGCAGAGGCACTTCAGCTACCAACCCAAGCACCAAAACCTGACCAGTGGCAGCTGACCTAAAGAAAGCCTACAGGGCTCGGAGATCTTGGGCTGGAAATATCAGTCCTGGCACGGCATATCCTCCAGTTAAAAAACCATGGTTTGGGGCTGCTTGGGCTGCTTGGGTCCGAAGCCCCTAGTTCGACAAGTTTGATGGGTGAAATGAACTAGATGCAAACAGAAAGAAGAATTACCGTAATCAACACACATCAAAATCCTACAGCACTTGAGTCCTTGGCGTCGTCCCTGGTGTATAGAGCTTTGCCGTGGGTGGCGCCAGCGACACCTCACTCTCCGACTCACCACTGCTGCTGGGCCGGGAGGGTCGGGATCCTCCGAAGGACACCAACCCAGCCGGGGCCGGGGCCGACGGCGCAGGGATGCCTCTGGGGGTCAAGGCTTCCCTCACCTTGGCCTCAGCTGCCTTCAGCTCTCGCTCCATGCGCGGCGCCGCGTCGTTGAAGATGCTCTCAACTGCTTTCTGCTGGGTGCCTAAGGCCAGTTGGAGCTGTGCAATGGCGTGCCTCGGTCGCGATTCTTGTCCTAACGTGCCAATCATTGGGCTGTTGGACAAATTTGGATGAAGCCTCGGAGTTTAGATGTCGGCACAGTTGGCTGAGAACTTTAGACAAGCTGCTTTTGGGACTCAATGATGGCGGCATCGCGCTTTTGGATCAGTTCGGATTCTTGCAGCTTGTCCTCACCCAGCAAGCAGATTTTGGCAGTTAAAGTCTGGCCAATTGAAGTGTATGAAAACGAAAAATATATAAACATCTATTCATGTTGGAAGGGTCTCCATAGCGGATGCAAGGAGCCATGCCTTGAATGTGAATCTTGGGAAACCAAACCTGCCACCTGCATGTTTCTGCTTCCTGCAGTTCCCCTCCTTCAAGCGGTCCATGTCGGTCATCATTTGTAGCTTTGCCTACACATCTAGCAGCCAGGGCAGAAGCTCTCTCAGCCCTTGTTTTCGTGATAAAATGAGGTCAAATGGATGTTTAATAGCTGGTTAATGGATTTTGATTCCCCAAAATCTGGGAAGTTCATGTGAATTTCATATATAAATTCATAGGTAACTTGACCCCCCATTTCTTCCCCCAGGTTCAAAACAAATGATTTGAGGTCAAGACCTGTTCGGAGACCCTCAGCTGCTCCTCAAGGGCTTCAAGACGCCTCTCCGATGCGAAATTTTCATTGAATTCTGGTAACTCAAAAAGTTCCATGGATTCTGTCTGGATCCTGTTAAAGTGACCATCTGGATCCATCTGGATTGTATTTCACCAACCTGAAATCTTCCGCCATTTCGCCATTGGATGACGTGCGCGACGTTTTTTGCGCCTTTGCTTCTCCTTCAGCTCCACGATGTGGTGGCAGGAGTGGGAGTAGTTTTTCCTGAAGATACGGAATTCAGGCTTGGTGTATGAAGTGCGTATAAGATGTGTATGATGTGTATGTGTGCGTGAGTGTGTAGTTACTTTTTTTGTCGTGCATATTTAATGATATATATTATATCCTGGTGCCACCGGGAAATATCTTTCATCTCTCTCCACAAAAACCCCAAAACCTGCTGATGGCAAAGTGTCACTTTCTCCACGTGGCCCGAGACATTCACTGGATAGCCACGATATCCAGACAGCTTGTCATCCCTGGCCCTCAGTCGATCTTGAATGCTTCCAGCAAACATGGCGCCGCTGGACTGTCCAAGAAAACGCTGTTGGCGGAAGTGCGAAAGAAAAGCATTGCCGGATTGCCTGTTCATCACTAGTTGATGGCGACTCATTGAGTAGTAGCATTTGGATGCAGTTGAGCTTTTGAATCTCTTGGCAACAGTTGCTAGTAGATGTCAAATGATGTCAATGCAATGGCTCAGAAATGGGTTGCAAGCCTCTGATGGCAGTGACGTTGCTTAATGGCTTAATATACTGAAGCCAGGTGTTTCGATGCGATCTCAGATGTTCGAAGCCTCATCACCTAACAGAGCACCCAACCACTGGGGGAATCAGGACACCATCGGACCATCGCTTCTGGTGATCGTTTCAAAAAAATCGAACCACCCCCCCAAAAAAAAAAATGGGCCAAAGTGAACAACATCTTCTTACAGTGACCGGCCATCCGAAGTCCCGAAACAAAAACGACCGCTTTTCCATAGTGAAGGTCAGCATCGCAGTTTTTCAACTCGGCCAAGCTGCGCCTGGAGCTGATGGGAATGGGATTTACCATGATCTACCTACCCAAATCTGATGGAAAATTGATGGGAAACATGATGAGTAACGACCGGATGTGGATGTGGGGTTCTGGACCAAGCCATATGTCAAAAAGTACTGACAAACCACGTGGACTTCAGTGGAAATCCAGCTAAGGACTTCAACCAGACTTCCAGATACGACATAAAACTCTGCCCATGCGTGTGAGTCCATGATTGACATCCTTCGCCTCCATTTTTGTAGACTTGGCCTACTGCCCAACCTAGCCATGCAAGCCTCCTGCAACTTCGCCCAAGGAGTATCTGTTTTGCCCTCACCACATGGAGTTTTCAACTCATCAACGCATCTGAAGCTGTGGCATCTTTGTACCACGCTGAGGCGGTGCCTCCTAAAGAACAGCTATGCTCCAGAGATGAAATGTCCGAGAAGATGTGATTTGTGCACTGTTTATAGGTCCTAAAATGTGAATTGTTGAAATGTCAAGAGAGAAAGGAATCTTTGGTGCGGACAATACAGTACCTCAGCACCATTCAATACGGATAAGATTGATATAATTTCAAATCAGAGCCACTGCCGTCTTGTTCATCTACAAAGAAATTATAATCATGACAATAGTCGCATGTCTTGGAGTACCAAATAACTCCCAATCTGAATGAATCATATGGAGCATCAGTTGACAAGCTTTTTCCCGAAGCAATACTGGCCGTCCTCAGCACAAAGGGATTGAGGGAGAACCAAAAGTTGTCATCATCCCACAGCGTAGTTTGATTGAACGGGATGAAGCATTGCAGACATACCGGCCACACCAAGTTGGATCACGTATTTAATGATATATACTCTGTCTGGATATCTAAGTATCAACATCTCAAAAAAAAAACATCAAAAAAATCAAGACAAAACAAAATTCAATTGATTGATAATGTTTCTCAAGACAAAAGCCAATCGATCGCCAACCTCAAATCGATCATTGAAATTGAGATCAGCTGCGAATTGGCATAAACATTCCAATCCATCGCCAATCGACTGCAAGCCCATCTCGTTGAAGTACACCCAGCCTGTCCAGGCTGCAGTTGTCAGCCTTGGATTTCAGAGCCAGGTGGGCTGCATTTGGCATGAAGAATCATCAAAATGGGTGGATGTAACCATCCATAGTAGTCATTAAAGCATCCATTAGTAACCATTAGTAGTCACCATTAGTGGTCATTAATGCTTAATAAATTTACTAATGATGGTATTTAAGTCATTATATAAATATTATCAATATTGCAAATCCATATGGGAAATTAACATGACTAGTCATAGATTAGCCACCAAATATGGCGATTCGAACCATGGTAAACCCCAAAAAAACTCAAGAATAGATGGTAACTAGATGGTTGAAGCAACATAACTTAGTCGGTGGGTATCACCAAGAAGCATAGAGATATATGATATACCCATTGGTACTAGGGGTTTTATGATTTCTGGTGATTATACTGAAGCAATCAATAATTGATGGTAGCAAACCTAATGCAATAAATGTCCAAAACTTCCCGCCAGGAGTCATTGGGGATGGTTTCTGATTTGGGGGTTGCCACATGAGTTTCACATTTTTTCCAAATGGCTATCTTGGGTAGTTTCAAATGTGGAGACCATAATGGATTATGATCATCAACAATATATTGGGTAGTGTGCCCCCAGAACTAATCATCAACCAACAGGCCTTTTGAAGACGAAGAATGATCGCCTATCATCTTTCAGACCTTGTGTGACTAGGTGACGATGATGACTAAGTGAGGAAGTTGGCATGCCATCGTCCATGCTGATCCTGTGTGTTTAGGTACCAGACTCAGGCTCTACTCGAATGCCAACTCGGAGTTTTTCTAATAAACCCCTGGGCTGTTGAATTGGGGTACTTTACGATACTGTATGAATTTTTGGCAGGTGAAATCACTCTAATCCAGGGTGCAGAGCCAAGGCCAAGCAACAAAACCACTGCAAAGAAGACATAGGGCTGCCAGGTCCCTTGTGCTGAGGCTGAAACTGTGATCACTTCGCAGCGATGCGTCACGCGTTTCTCAAAGCTTTCGCCCAGAAATGATGCGTGAATAATATTGTCCACTTCAATCAGGAAACACAAAGCCTCAAATCTGTAGGAAGATATAAGACATGGACATGGAAATAAGATATGGAAAGATATATTACTGTCATTTGCATACATGCAACATGAATCCACCTGCCAGGTACCATTTTTATATCGACCTGTCAGGTATCCATTCTCACCAACGTTGCCCACCTCTGCTCAATACCATTGGCAGGTGGGCGGGAATTTCACCAAGCCATAGCTGCTGCGAAAAGGTGCAGACCTCGAGCGCTTGCACCACCATTGCCTCTTGGAAACTTCGTGGGTTCCTACTTTGCTTTCTGTGTTTCAACCCTGCAGAAGCTACATTGGTAGCGGAGCCGAGATTGCTCGGCCTCCTGCTGCTGCTGCGCACTCCAACTTAACCAATAACCCTTACAACCTCACCTTCAACCTTGTGATTTCCTTCTACAACTTTCTGGACAAGATCTATCGAGCTTTGCACTTTGCCAGTCCTACATCTTTGAATTTGTCAAGGACCTCGGGCTCTGGCTTGGCAGTGCTTCTCTTCTACTTGGCCCTGGGCAGTGCTTCTCTACGAGAGCTATGTCAGCGGGCGCAACGACTTCGAGCGCAACTGCCTTGGACCAGCAGAGCACTCGCGACAGCTACATCCCTGTCTTTGATGGCACTCCAGCGAACTACAAGGAATGGCGGAAACGAATCATCATCTATGCCAAGAAAATGGAGCTGATGAACAGAAAAGGCGAGTGTGTGCTGAACTTGCTTGGTTCTTTGCAAGGAACAGCATGGAAACTTGTCGAGGACTTTGACTTGGAGTTCGTGAGCGGCGACACCGCCCTGAAGGACATCTTGGCCCTGTTGGACGCAGCTTTCCAGTATGACAGCAAGGTGGAGATGCCTGCGGACTTTGCCGCATACTTCGAAAGCCAAGGACGTCGCAGTGGTCAGAGCCTCCTTCAGTTCATCACCGACCATGATGATCGACTTCGCCGAGTAGAAAAGCATGGAGTCAAGCTTCCAGCAGAAGTTCAAGGATGGCACTTGTTGGCAAAATCCAACATTTCCAAGGAGCAGAAGCAGATGGTGATGACTCAAGCCAACTCCTTGGAGCGTACGAAGATTCAGCAAGCTTTGTACTCCATCCTTGGTCAGGACTACAAGCACAGCCATGTTCCAAACCCCAGCCGATGGTCTTCCTCATCACGCCCTTCTGGAAGAGGTCGTGGATACTATGTGGATGAGGACAACAACGCCTATGAAGATGACGCTTGGGGCTACATGGCTGAGGATGACGACTTTGCCTACTATGAGTACGACGATGGTGCTTGGGAAGATGATGGCAACTATGATGAGTTTGACTGCGATGCTGTCTACTACCAGGAAACTACGGATGATCCCATCATGGATGACTACGGCTATGACCCTGACGAGTACGATGAATGCTTTGCAAGCTATGTGGATGCTCGACGAAGGTTCAACGAACTTCGCATGTCGAGAGGCTTCTTGCCTGTCGTTGCACTCGACCCCAATGCCTCCGGCTCCAACCAACAGCCCATCAACAACAAGGGCAAAGGAAAGAAGGGTCGTGGAAAAGGGCGTGGAGGAAAGAACAATGTGAAGTACTCCAAGCCGCCAATGAAGCCTCACGATCCCAAAGGTCGAGCACAAGCTGCACTTCGATGTCTTCGATGCGGATCAACAAGCCATACGACAGCGCAATGTACCCAAGGATCCAAGCCAACTCAAAAGGCTACTCCAACTGGTCCCAACAAGCGACAAGCCACTGAAGGAGTTGCTTCGAACAACATCTTCGACCCTGAGAGCGGCATGGTGATGTTCGAGGGCCAAACTGGAGCTCAAAGGCCAGATTGTGCGATGATGGATCCTGGTGCCTCCTCTTTCTTGATGGGCTATGGTCCTTTTTGCAGATACTTGGACCACCTCAAGAAGCTCAACTTCCCTGTGCACGAGATCACCCTCAAGAAGGCCAACAGAACTTCCACTTTGGAGGTGATCACCAAGCAGTTAGCTCTTGGACAGTGCACCTGCCCATCTTCGTGAACCACCAGTTTGGTTTGGTCCAAGCGTTCCTCTTGAAAGGAGAGACACCAATGCTGCTTGGACGACCAATCACAAAAGCTCTTGGCATGTCCCTGGACTTCCTCAACGATCGCATCAAGCTCAACAATGGTGACTGGCGTGACGCAACTCTTGGACGACACAATGAATACCTGCTGCCACTCACCGAGGACTTTGACCCGGCGATCATCTCCAATGGTGCTGCCTTTGACCTGGTGCTTGAAGATGAGGACGGCCCCAACTTCACCCTTGAGCACTTCCAGACCACTGAGAATGTGTACATGGCCGACGAGCACCCAGCACCTGAAGGTTCACTTCTCCTCAAAGGCAAGATGCTGAAATCCATCGACAACTCTGTGCTGACACGCCTGAAGGCGGCAGAGGCCTACATTGCCCAAACTCTTCATGACATGGAAGAGAGACGACCTCGAAAACTATGGGAAGTCTACTGTGGGCATGGCCGAACTTCTGAGATTGCAACTTCCTTTGGCATGGAGACCCAGCGATTTGGATTTGAAACTGGATGGAACTTTTCACTGCGATCTCATCAACGAGCTTTCATGGACTTGCTCGATGAGGAACTACCAGATGAAGTTCTACTTGCACCATCCTGTTCGCCTTGGTCTCCCATGCAGAACGCCAACATGCAGAACGAGCGCAAATGCCAACAGTTGCAACAACTTCGAGAATGGCATCACAGAGTTCACCTGCGGTTTTGCAGGAGGATTTACCTGAAGCAGCTTGGAGAAGGACGACATGCACACCTTGAACAACCAACTCCAGCTCTCTCTCCTGGAAGACGAGCTCACTACGAGATCTTCCTGGACATCGAGCACGATTCCATCAATGCCAATATGGATGTGTCTGCATGACTGATGAAGGCTCATGGATGCCTGTGCGCAAGGACACCACCATCTTGACTTCGAAAGCTGCGGTGGCACAGGCCATGAATCGCCTTTGTCCAGGAGATCATCAACACTGCCGACTTGAAGGCCATCTGAAAGGTTTCAACACTCTGAAGACCACCTTCATGCAGGACTACCAGCCTGCCATGGCCGCCACACTGGCTGCTGCAATTGCTTCTCCGGAAGTACCTCACCCTTGGGACTTTGGATTTGCAGTCCAAGAGGTGAAGGAGCACGTCGGCAAGATGATTGACTTGCATGTGGAAGGCAAGGCCGAAGCCTTGCGAGTGGTTCAGAAACTCCACAGGAACCTTGGACACCCTTCTACAAAGTCCTTGGTCGAGCTTCTTCAAAGCCGCAATGCCAGTGAGACTTTGATCCAAGTTGCTGGAACTTACGTTTGTGCAGCCTGCCAAAGGTATCGCAAACCAAATCAGCCAGCACCTTCAAGCGTCAACACTGTGGAGAACTTCAACCAGAAGGTTCAATCAGATGTTTTTTGGATCAAGGAGGGTGGCGTGAAATATCCAATTCTCTCCAACATCGACATGGCCACCAAGTATCAGACCGCCACTTTGCTGCACAAAGAGAAGACTGGCGACCTGATCACTGGATTTGAGCGGTCTTGGATTGCCCATTTTGGGCCACCAGCCAAACTTCTTACAGATGAAGGCAGGGGATGGGTCAGTGACCAGATGGCTGAATGGACTGACTCTTTGTCCATAAACCATGAAGTTGCCCCTGGTGAAGCCCACACACGAATGAGCTTGGTTGAGAGGCGACATGCCGTGCTGAGGAAAGCCATTGAGGTGTACATTTCTGACTTGGACTTGCATGGCCCCGATGGACTTCGAACGGCCTTGACGTACATCCTCCCTCAGCTGAATGCTCAACCAACTGTGGCTGGCTACAGCCCATCACAGTGGCTTCTTGGGTATCAGCCATCGATTGGCAACCTCCTGACCTCTGACCAGATCACTCCAGTTCATCTTGCTGGTGGATCCTCCTTTGAAGAAGCCCTGCAACGAAGAAACATGGCCAAAACGGCAATCCTCCAAGAAGACACTGACCAGAAGCTACGGCGTGCACTACTTCGCCGATATGCCGGCGACAACATCAAGCTGTCAGTGGGCCAGACTTGCTACTTTTGGCGAGATGCTCAACAGAGCGACTTGGTCAAGATACGTTGGAAGGGCCCAGCCAAAGTTTTGATGGTCGAATGTGATGGAGATGGCAAACCAACATGTTACTGGATTTGCTATAAGACTCAGCTTATACGATGTGCACCTCAACACTGCAGACCAGACTTCCATGCCTTGACCACCAACGTCATCGACAACTTGGAGGAAGCAAAGAATGTGATCAGACAGATCAAGTCACGTGGAGTCACTCAGTACCTGGACTTGAACCGTGTGAACAAGCAGCTCATCGACGATGTGGAGGAAGACGAAGAGATGATGTCAGACAGTTCAAACCCTGAGCAGATCTCCAAAAGAAGACGTCTGGCGATGTCTCCAGCACCTTCAGTGAGCTATGAACCATCGCTTGCCGATGATGAAGTTCCAATTCCTCCTGAACAAGATGATGCTGCCAACAACGACTTGATCCACAACAACGGTGCAGACCTTCCTCAAGATGTTCCTGTACCCGACACCAACGACAATGCCGAGAACTTGTTTGAGCCTTCAGCTGAACCATTTCCACCAACACCGATGGCAACGTCACCTGTGAATCCAACTTCAATACCAACATTTCCTGACCAACATGTTTCAGTACAACCACCATCACAACTTACATTGCCACAACCTTCACTCTCCTCAATTCAACAACCATCACCCTCTTCACTGCCTTTGCCTTCACAACATTCAGTGCCACAAGATACACAACATTCATTGCCACAAACCACACCAGTTTCAGTGCCACAGTCAATACAACCACCACTACCTTTTGGAGAAACGTTTCAACAGCGAAGAGCCAGACTTGATCGACAAGAGATGATGCCCATTTTCAACCAACCACACCGACATCAACGACGAAACCAAGATGGACCTTATTCAAAGCCAACACCCAATGATGATGACGACTTGGCCAACGTTGTTTTTCAGGTCGAAGATGTTGATCCTGATGGACTTCCTAGCGATTGGCACTTCAGACCTGAGACTGGCTATTTTGAGCTGCGACCTGGAACCACCAACAGAGACTTTTGGGAAGTCAAAGCAGGATGTTTGATACGCCACCATGTACATCCTCGCAAGACCTTGTTTGACCCCAACGGCTTCAAGGACATCCCAATCCCGGTGGAGCACCTCGACAATACTAGAGTGACTGTCCACCACACCATTGACGGCCAGATTGCCTCCTTCACTGACGACTTCAAGAACCAGATGCACTTCACCAAAGACCTGAAGAAGCATCAACTGCCTGCTCAATGGTTTGGAATCACGGTCTTTCAGATCAATGCCACCACCAGAAAGGAGCTTGGGATGACAGCCCAGGACCAACGCAGCTCAGCCAAGAAAGTTGCCCAAGATGCCAAAGTCCAACAAAAACGAGTCTTTCGCCGTGACATGGCCAAGAACAAAGGTGAGATCTCCGAGAAACACCTCACTGCTGCTGAGAAAGAGTTGTTCTTCCAGGCCAAGGTGAAAGAACTTCAGTCGTTTTTCGAAAATGGCGTGTGGGAGTTTTCCACATCAGCAGACGCCATACCTGAGAGGACTTTGACAAGCAGAATTCTTTTGAAATGGTCCAAAAACACTGACGGTACCCCACGTGCGAAGGCACGATTGGTTGTCAGAGGTTTCAACGATGTCGATGCTTTGAATGGCAACCTTGACACTGCGAGCCCTACGACCAGCCGCCTGAGCAGATCAATCCTGCTGACGGTGTCCTCATGCTTGCGATGGAAAGCTTGGGCCGCAGATGTGTCAACAGCCTTTTTGCAAGGACTTCCACAAGAACGTCAACTATGGCTTCGTCTTCCAACAGAAGCTCTACGAATCCTTGGTGCTCCTCCTGAGACCCGTATGTACCTGAAGAAACCTGTCTATGGACAATTGGATGCACCACGTAGATGGTACCTGGAAGCCCTGCGTAGACTTGAAAGCCTTGGTTGGAAGCGACATCAACTTGATCCCTGCCTCTTCATGCTCTTCGACGACTCCAACATCACTGATGGCGACACGCCCAAGTTGGTTGGCCTCCTCATCATCCATGTCGATGACATTTTGACTGCAGGAGATGAGACCTCTGCAGTATATGCTGATGTTGAGAAGCGGCTGAAGGAAGTTTTCAACTTTCGAACTTGGGAAGCTGACACGCAGACCTTGGAATACTGCGGTGTGAAGTTGGAGCGGCAGAACTATGCATGGTCAGTCCACCAAGAGGACTACTGGAAAAAGGTGAAGCCCATCACCATCCACAAAGGCCGTTCTGCTGAAGATGAGATGAACGAGCACGACAAGTCTCAACTACGTGCTTTGTTGGGATCAATACAATGGCCAGCAGTTCAAACAGCCCCACATGTGCAATGCCAGCCTCATTAGCGGCCAGCAGAAGACCAACAAGCTGCGCGCCATCATTGAGGCGAACCAGCTGCTCAAGTTTGCCAAGCAAAACCTGGATCTGCGATTGCGCTATGAGCCTTTGAACGTCCAGAGCTTGGACGACATCAGACTTTTCTTTATGTTTGATGCTGCACATGGGGTTCGTGAAGATCACACTTCACAGGGTGGTTACATTGCCTTCTTTGCCACGGACGAGATTTTTCAAGGCGAGATCCACTTTCACATCATTGACTGGCGCAGCTTTAAGCTGCCACGTGTTGCAAGGAGCAGTTTGAGTGCCGAAGCCCAAGCTTGCGGCCAATCCTCCGACATGGCTGAATATGTTGCCAGGTTTTGGAGCTGCATGCTACGACCTACGCAAAACCTTCGAGACCATTTGGATGAAACCTCAACCTTGCAGCCTTGCCTCATCACTGATGCGAAGGCCCTCTATGACTCCTATCACAAAGAAAGCCTTGCAGGTGCCTCCACCGTGGACAAGCGCACCGGCCTTGAAATCCGTGTTGCAAAAGAACAATTGACCTCACTTGGAGGTATGCTGCGATGGGTGAGCTCCGAGAGACAGTATGCGGATGGCCTCACAAAGATGTCAACGCGTGCACTCCTTGCCGAGCGCATCCGTTACCACAAGATGAAGCTGATGTGGGATCCTGAATATACCAGTGCGAAAAAGAAAACAGCTGCTGAACGTGAAGCCAGCAGAACTGAGTTTGCAGAGCCGACCGAAGAAGAAGAAGAAGGAATCACAAACAACCTCACCAACATTTTCATCATCACTTCAACACGCGACACCTGAACCTCCACACCATTCCAACATGTTTGAAAAGTGCGATATGACTGAAGATGAGCGCCCTTTTGACGAGCGCTATGCCATGGAAGAGCCCTATGAGCCTGTCGAGGCCTACGCTGGTTTCGTAAAGAATGCCAAAGCCATTGTGTATGCCCTGACGCTCTATGCCACTATGCCAGCGGCTTCAGCGATGCATGTGCCATTGGACCATGAACATGGACGATGGGGAATTTATTTCTTTTGGATCATTTTGATCCTGCTGCTTTTGGGCTTGGCTTTTGCCCTTGGTCGACGGCGAGGCATTCGACTTCAACGTGCACGACAAGCTGAAGATGTCAGCGCTGCTCTGAACCGCCTCGACAGCCTGCAGCTTCGAAACGACCGGCATGATGTGGAGACCCAGAGAATGCGAGAAGAGATCAACATGCTGCAGGAAGTTCGACATAACCTTGAACTGGAGCGCCGATCAGCGAATGTGATGGCGATCATGATGGAATACAACGGCCACCAGATCCGACACATGGTTGGACGGATTGATAGACTTCAAGGTTTGATCGCAAACCATCAGATGCCGTGCCCACTTGGCGACACCATCCTAGTGCAAGAGAACTTGGATGAGACCCAATGGCACGTTGATGCTGACGGCCCCATTCTCCAGATGAATCGAACTCCGATCTACGAGCTAGATCACTGCCAGCTTTGTGCCCCTCGCGATGTGCGCATGGTTCAAGACCGAGCATTCACTGGTCGATGAGAGATGCCGTGTGTTTCATTTTTTTTCTTCCCAAATCAAAGATTTGGACGTGCTCATGCATTTGACCGGCTGTTAGCCAACATTCCCCCGTGTCATTTGCATACATGCAACATGAATCCACCTGCCAGGTACCATTTTTATATCGACCTGTCAGGTATCCATTCTCACCAACGTTGCCCACTCTGCTCAATACCATTGGCAGGTGGGTGGGAATTTCACCAAGCCATAGCTGCTGCGAAAAGGTGCAGACCTCGAGCGCTTGCACCACCATTGCCTCTTGGAAACTTCGTGGGTTCCTACTTTGCTTTCTGTGTTTCAACCCTGCAGAAGCTACAATTACATATTTCCATGTCATATTTCCATATATTCAAATCACGGTTTGTGTAAAGTTTATGAGGTCAGGGAAAAATTATGAAGTGCAATAAAAAAACAGGCAGCCCTGGTAATTGTACGGCCACACAGGCCATCAAGAGAAATAGAACAGCTTCGAAACAGTGGCTGCTTGTCATTTTGGGGAGGACTGCAAATAAAATACTGTATTGTGGCACTCTGCTGAGAATCTGTTGTATTCAAGACAAGGTCTTGCAGATTGTTGGTAGCAGATAGGAATCTGGCACCAACAACCAGGACAACCACTGCGATGACACCTCTGGGAATCCCAATGCAGAGCACAGCGAAGATCTTGTGGCTGATGGGAAAGCTGTTCACCTCCATCTTTTGGTCGAAGCTGGCAAAAGTTGGATCGGAATTCTGCGTGGATGGAGTGTACCACACCACGTACAAGAAGTTGAAAGTGCTGCGCAATTCCACAATCATCAGCATGCCCCAAATAAAGAGCAGCAGCACCAGAAATGACACAAAGGTGGTGCCCAGGATTGAATCCGACTCGCCTTTGTAGGTGGTTACTGCACTGTAGGTGACCTTGTTGGCCCCTTTTTCGCGTGAAAATGTTGAGTCGCCACAAACTTCAGAGGTGACATAGTGAATCCACTGATAATTTTCTCCAAACATTTTCATGCAGAACTTTTCAAAGTTCTCGCGACAGGCCGCAACTCGATCTTGTGCATGCTTCAAGTCTTCAGGTAGCATTGTTTTCAGCTTTCCTCGGACTTCTAGATTGCCGCAAAGATTTGGATCTATGGGCAGGCACATCTCAATCTTGCCTCGAAAATGCTCAAAAAACTTCATGTCCAAACTGACATCGTCCTGATCCTGGCTCCGGCTCTTAGAGCCAATGCGATTCTCGAAGTCGTACTTGGCCATTCGCTCCAAGATCTGCAATGATTGCACTAGATCTTGTTTTGAAAAACCACGGCGATTCACTTGTATCAGTGATGTTTCTGTTTTATTCATTTACCCATTTACGATCATTTACCGATATTTACCGCATATAATATATCCATATTAATCATCATATCCCTAGACTTCCGATAGTTACCCCAATTGCCTTTCCTACCCCCGCCTCTGGAATCGGCTTGGCCATCTTGCTCCCGTGCTTCTCCAGTTGATCTCGAATTGCATTGGCTTCATCCTGGCGAAAGATACCCTGGAGGGTTGAACTTTAAACGGATGTGGTAAACCGACCATCTGGGGATCATAGTACGTAGTAACCAGCCATTTATATGGGGGGGTCCATGGAGGTATCCAAAATGGTTGGTTTATAATGGAAAAAACCCATTAAAATATTAAAATGGATGATTTGGGGGTATCCCCATTTCAGGAAACCACCTATATAATTATGGTGATAGTAGGGATGGTCTTAGGGTGTACCACATGGGCCACGGTCAATAGTTGGTATATAGCTCCAAGTCATCAATTTTGAAGAGTGTATTATCGCTTTTCAGGTTTTGGTATATAAGCAAATGTTATCTTTTTTTGAAGGGTGTATTATATATCGTTTTCCAAGCCCCAGCTCAATTTCCAAAAAATAAAGATGTCTCGAATACTACTCTCCATTAACCTAAATCTTGCCTGTAGCTCGCATGAAGAGGATGTTTTGTCGAAAGAAATCGTGGAATTTCTAGTGCCATGTTTGATTACCGGATGGTAAGCCGAAAGAACATCCCCAACAGCAAGACATGTTCTGATGATTGCAATCTGGGTGACATCCTTGAGAGCAGCACCCTCTTCTTGGAAGCGTTGCCACTTCAGAACCTCCTCAAAACCTTTTAAACTTTACTTCTGAGACCTTCATCGAGGAACATCCTTCCTGCAAACTGGAAATTTACATCCAGACTGAAAATTCCTTGAACCCTTGACACTTTCCTGTGTACCTTGCTTTACAACCTAAGAACATGCTAGAAACCTTCCTCTAGTGGGAAATTTCCTTGCAAGCCTGGAGATCCCACTTGGGAATTTCACTTGGGAATCTGGGAACCCAAAAACCTTTGGGAAGGGCGACCTGCTGTGGCCAAGGGGCTGTAGACCAAAAGCCATTTCCATCCAAGTCCAGCTTCTTCGGGAGCATTGACAGGGTCAGAATCGGCTGCAAACAATCGAAGTCGTTGGAATCCCGGAGCTCGGACGGGTACAACACGTCAAAGAACCTGCAGCGTTTCGGTGCCAACTTCTTTGCACTTGGCCTTGACCTTGAAACATAGCTGGCTTTGTGAATGGGGCAAGTGCGGCAAGGGAACAATCGAAGTCGTTGTACCCAACTCCGACAGAATCCAATTTCTTACAAGTTTGCCAAGGAACTTGTTGTTAGAAGACAGTCTCCAGCAAGCTCCATTGAAGAGCGCTTCTCCGATGCTGCCATATGTAGAGCTAGAGACTTCATTGATTTTCCATGCGATGGCCAACTGCAGCACGAGGTTTAGCAGCAGAAAAAGGCTCACCATTCGATAGTCGGAAAAGCGCGCAGCCGAATCTTTGTCCTTTCGAATTCGTTCATACCTGAAAAACAAAGGCCCCCACAAGGCATCCAAGTAGACGTCCGCTTCCTCAGAAGGGAAAGAAAAGAGACCGACCTGTGGCTGGTCGCCAGACATCAGTCCGTTTGTCTGCTGTTCACATCTAAAAATAAAGTGATGCTGAGATGCTTTAAAATAAATAGACTATGTACGTTATGTTAGATGATGTTGGTTTTTTAGATATAAAATGATATACGATGTTAGACAATTTTAACGTAGGTTGACTACATATCTTATATATTATTATATTATATATTATATTGTTCAAGATAGTTAAAGTCGCTTAAGAAAATCTTAGGATATTCCAAGATATTTCGGAGCTACTTCTGCTTTCCCAACTTTCCACCCGGTCCTCCGGATCCAATTGCTTGGAGTGCCAGACTGTCTCATCCATATCTGAATCTTCACTTTCATCCACGCTGTCATTCAGCTTCTCCAGGTCCTGGCGAACATCTGGTAAAACAATGTTCAATAGGTCACCTAGTTGATTCATGGTGTTGCTTACCAGAGGGTGAAAAATCTGGCCTGAAGCTGAAGCCTGTGGGCCTGGGTTGTTTTGGAAAAGGCTGATGAAAATTCCGCTGCTCCAATGTCCCTCAATATCAAAAATCATGTTTGGGTCTGGTTTGCCCATGCTCAGCTTCGCATGCCTTTCGGTAGTCCAACAAGGTACTGGAAAATCATGGAAAAACCCTTCTTTGGAAACCGGTTTCGTGCTGAACTTAGGGATATACTCGGAAGCAATCTAAGATTCCTGGACCATACATCCCCCGATTCTAGTTTTCCTTCGTTTCTGGTGCTTAAATACACTTGAATCCCATTCTCATGGCAGAAATCTCAAATTATATAAGATTATATATTTACATCTCAAAGTGCCATCTGAAACTCGATACTGATCGCTCTCTCGCAGCTTCCTTTTTTCCACAGCCAAGCCTATGTTAAGTCAATGTCACCTGCAATCCTCAGGTTTGCTTTGGGTTGTCACTGTGTGACATGTACATAGCCCCAGACCAGTTTCACCACTGGTCAGCTACCTGGAACTCCAGGCTGGAACCTGCTCTGCAGGTATCACCCGTCCCTTAACCTAAGGGATGGTAGGCCTCTCTTGGTCACCCCAAGAGAGGAGGGTGAAGGATCAAAAAAAAATAAAAACGCATCAAAAAAAAATATCCCCATAAGTATCAAAATAAAAATTGATTTGCATCAAAAAAAAAATATTCCCCTGGACTTCTATGGAACTGTCCAAGATTTCAACGTGGTACACGCATCAAAAAAAAATAAAATTTGCATCAAAAAAAAATAAATTCCGAGGTATGCTAATACAAGTGAGACTCGTACGTGTCTGGAGACAGGGGAGGGAGGGTCAGATGTCGATTGCCGATCTGTCCGCAATATCCAGGTGGTCCGTATCAAACAAGAAAATTCCGAGGTATGCTAATACAAGTGACTCGTACGTGTCTGGAGACAGGGGAGGGAGGGTCAGATGTCGAAGAAAAGGTCGACTGTCAGCAGACAACAGATACCAATGCATATTAAATCACAACTACTCTTGGGATACCGACTCAGACGAAGAGTCCCATTAAGGTGCTCCATAACGCAATGCTCATACATGCGAGGCGATCACACGTCTGGAGAACTCTCTTGAGATCCCAACAGATACCAGCGCATATTAAATCACAACTACTCTTGGGATACCGACTCAGAGGGAGAGTCCCAGCAAGGTGCTCCATAACGCAATGCTCATACATGCGAGGCGATCACACGTCTGGAGAACTCTCTTGAGATCCCAACAGATACCGAATAAAGGGTCGAGTCCCAGCAAGCAAGCTGCTCCATAACGCGATGCTCATACATGCGACGCGACAGCATGTCTGGAGATGGAAGGTCGGATATCAGAGAAAGTGTGAAAGTCAGATGAAAAAGACACTTCGTGGCTAGGCATGTCACAACCTCTCTTGAAACTGGGGACGGCGGGATCTCGAATAAAAGACCGAGTCTCAAGTTAGTTAATGTATATATACATTTATATATATATATATATATTTATGTAAATATATATACTGGGAGATACACAATTATATAAATATTTACATGGATATGTATATACATATTAATTTTTATATATATACATTTATATAAGTACATATATATATATATATAAGTGCATATATAAATGCAAATATATACATACATATATATATATACATATATATATATATACATATATATATATGTGTGTCTATATATATTTATATATGTCTAGATATATGTACATATATATACACATAAATTTTAACATAAATATGAATATAGTCGAATCAAACTATATAGTGTATTGAAAAGTGTCTTTCTTTTTTATTTAAATAGTTAAAAAAAAGCGGGAGGGGGGGATTGGGGGGGAGGGCTGAAGAGGGGCCCTAGCGTCTACTTCAAGATCAGCTAAGGCGTCTTCCCCAATGACAGCACTTGTTTTACTCAGCCTGTTGCCGGTCCGTGCTTGTCTACAGGGTTACTCTATATACCTCTTGAGCCTTGAAGGGCGCATATAAATGTGCTCAATACTCATGCATGTACCTATGTAGGTATTAGGTCGAAACAAAAACACAGGCACAAATTCAAAAGCAATGAGTAGAGCACTACGCCTTGCCGTACCCAATTGGTATTAAGAGTATCTTCCTGACTTCTCTACACAATGGCAAATAGCAAAAGAAACCGGAGTTACGCAGTGGCTTCGAATTGAAAAACACGTGAAAGCAGCGAATGTCCTAAGGACATGTCGAAAAAGAACAGCGGATTCGCTAATTTTTCCAGTAGCGACCAATGGTGCTTCGCGCACGGTCTCTCCATAGGCAAAATGCCTTGCTCTACCGGTGAAAGTTCGAATTGAAAAGTTCGGGTTCGCAAGATTCAGAAATTCAGGTCATACGAAAAACAATTGACCAAATCACGAAATAAACGGAAATAGCGGATCTCCAAAGTTGCTCATTCAAGCAAACAATGGACTGAAATCGAAGTTGGTAATTTTTGGAGTTCGCTCCATTCGGAGTGGTCTGCTCGCCGGATGATTCATGGAGATAAATGTATATAGTATCTCTATTTACAAGAGTCTCTATTTTACATTAAATCGAAATTCAGACACTTGTGGCATTATCTCTATCTAAAAGAGTATATGCCATTTGTGTGAAATAAGTTGAACGCACAGAAAAACTGTACACGGCTTCTCATGCTGTGTTATCTTCATTTAAAGAAGTATACACTCACTCATAGCCAAAAGCTTGATCTCCATGGTCTGGACGAAGAAGATGAGGATCCACCCCACTCTGTGTTGCCCTGATACGTCGATGCTTGATCTTCATATGCCTTTCTCTTTTTCTCCTTCTGTCTTTCCTTTCTTGTATCAGCATACTGCTTCTTCTTGTAGGCCTGTTTGTAATGATGTCGTTCATTCCATGACATATCAGAAGGATCAAGATGGATAAGAATTGGATTATGAGCATCGCGATCATTTGGGGCAACCATGAAGATGTTGTGATCACCATGTAAGCAAGTTTCATTTACCTTGAAGTAAAATTCACCCACATAGTTCATGTGATCTTCATCCTCAAAGTCTTCTGGGTGTTCCTCACACATCAAACGTGAATGACCCCACTCAACAACTGTTAACATACAACAATCACCTTTACCATTTGTCTTGTTCATGAGCTCGTCGGTGTATGTTGCTGTTGTAATGCCATCCAAGTGTGTTGCAAGAAAATCCAAGTCACGATAACTGCAAGAAATGAAATGCTTGACCCTGATTGGAGGGCAAGATGAATCAAAATACTTGCGCATGGCTTGTGTTGCAACACCTACCATTCTGTTGATCCAGAATTGGATAAGGCTGTGTTGGTATGTAGGGACACCTGGAGATTTTGGTGTGCTGTAATAGCATGCCTTGTTTCCATCACCTGCGATGAAGTCAACTTGATATCTGGCACACTCAAAAGCCATAACAGCTAAGCACTCACCAACAATCCCAGCAGAGTCTGATGCATACTTCTGTCCGACGTGATAAACGCACACACGTGTCATTCTCATCCTAGCTCTTGTCAAGTCAACAATCTCATCTGTATCTCGATCCTTTGTCTTTCCCCAAGATACTTCAAAGATTGCCCATGAGACTTGTCGAACTCGTGTGTCGTTGTCATCTGTGTGATATCCAGCAATTTGCTTGATATAGCCATCCTTTCCAAGGCGAGCTGCCACCATCAAGTCATGATAGTCATTGAAGCAAGTTTTAAAGTCAACCTCGTTGAGTCTTTCTCTGTGAGGATACAATGAACCAGCCTCGCAATTCATGAAAAGATGTCCTCCAAAGTTCTTGATGACATTGATGAAGTAATTGTTGAACTGTGATTTGTTTTCATCAAATTTTTCATGATCCTCATCGATGGTGTAGTCAATGTGTGGAATGAATTGTTGAAATCTTTCTGGAACCGGGCATTTTTCAAATCTGTTTCTGCACCAGTTTCCCAAATTCCAAAACATTGCTGTTATCTGTGGAGAGGATCTGTATGGAAATTCAGCATCCTTGTACGTTGGGTCTGATAGGCCTCCACCTAAATACCTGTAAGCCAAGCTATGCAAGATCATACAGTAAGGCAAGACCTTGTGGTCCTCAACGTAATCTTGGAGTACCCTTGTGAGATTTCCAAAATCGTCATCAATCCTCTTTTCTGCTTCTTTTGAGGATCTTTCTGCTTTGTCTTGATGAAGAGGATGCATCCTAGGATCACTACAACCATATTCAATGCGCTGATTGAGTTCTTGTAATTCTAGTTGTGGATTTGATCCTTGTGTCTGGCAATGTACTCAATCATCAACTGGTCATCTGTAAGATGGTACCAATAATCTTGATGTGGAGACATGGTCTTTCTGTACTTGACATGCCAAAACATGTGTCGATGCTTCGAAGACGCTGGATAACCTTTGTTGTAAAATCCTGCCCATTCACCATGGTAATCATCTGAAAAACAATCCTTCAATTTTCGAAAAACTGAATCATCTTCGTTTCCAGTGATATCTTGACCATAGTAAAGTCGAATTGCAGGTTTCACTTCAGGAGCTGTCTCATCATCTTGAATGTCTGTTTTCTTCTCCCCTGATTCCTCCTTTTCTGAGGAGCGTTCAGGTGGAGCTGATTCCTCTTTCTCTGAAGAGCCTTCAGCTGGGACATGTGGCTCCTGTGTGTCTTTTTCTTCTTCTTCTTCGACAGCAATCTCCTCTTCTTCATCCTCTTCTTTCTCTTGTCGTTCTTCTGGTTTGACAAAACTGTCCTTGATCTTTTGTTGAACATTCTGATTGCACATACTGATCCATTTCAATGTACACTCAACCAATTTGTCATCATCAGTTTCCAAAACGATATGCTTGTCCTCAATGTTCAAACTTTCAATAGTATGTTTGTACTCAGGATCACCTGCGCCTGGTCTTTGAAGATCTGGAAGAGGAGTG